AGGTCAGCCATGTGCAAGGCCAGTGCTCAGCCTGTGGGCTATTGCTCTGGCCCCAGGCTCTGAAATTTGTAAGGGAGAAAAGAAGTTTAAGGGGTGAGAGGTTTGGGGGAGGGAAGTCGGGAGCAGAGTGGGAAGCAGTGACGTGACATGCTGGGTAGGAGCTGACAGGAACGCAGATAAGGAACTCGCCTCTCACATCGCACTCCCTCCAGGAGTGGCCTCTGAGCACAGCACAAGGACTAAGCCCTGAGCACTGCATGATGTGCTACCCGCAACAAATGAGAACATTTTATTGGGTGGGAGAGACCGCATGCCCACAGGGCTCTTCCGTATGTGGCTGCACCGGAGCCGGAAGCACTCCTGAGCCTACAGGTGTGGCCCCCAAACAAATGAAAAATCAATTTAGTCTCTCATTTAACTGTAGTTCTTATCTTAATTGTGTTTACTTTGGGGGAGGACACTCAGCTTGCTCAGGGGTTATTCCTGGCGCGGTGCTATGATGGGGTACGGGAATGGAACCCCAGCAGGCCAGGCCAGTGCCCTCCCCACTGTGCTCTGCTCAGCCCCTTACTGTCATTTTCTTTCCTCCCCTCTTTTGAGTGACTGGGTGACCAGGGAAGGTTGGGGGCATCCCGGTTCCCCCCAGGTCCTCTGCCCTGTCACCACATGCCATTCTAGATGGCTGATACAGTGGAGGGGGCCTTCAGGGGGCTGCAGGGAGCCTCTTTCTCTGCAACTGTTCCTGTGAACCCATGATGGGTACCAGGCAGGCCTGTGCAGAGGGAAAGCCCGCACAGGCTGCCGCTCAGAGCCAGAGTGGCTGGCCAGTGACCCTCAGGCACTCCTGGCTGGCTCTGGGTCTGTCTCCCAAGGAGAGCCCTCCAATGAGGGTCCTAATGGGATGGAAAGAATTTCTTGGGGCTGGAGCGATAGTACAGCAGGTAGGGCATTTGCCTTGCATGCGGCTGACCCAGGTTCGATTCCCAACATCCCATATGGTCCTCCCGAGCATCACCAGGAGTAATTCTTGAGTGCAGAGCCAGGAGTAAGTAACCTCTGAGCATTTGGGTGTGACCCAAAAAGAAAAAAAGAAAAGAGAGAGAGGATTTCTTTTTGCGATTTGGATCACACCCGGTGGAGCTGAGGGACTGACTGCTCCCATCTCAGTGCTCAGAAGGAAGGTGGGGATCAAGAGGTGCCCAGTCCACGGGGCTCTCCAGGGGCCCTTGTCTGCAGACAGCTGACCGGATCTGCCACCGGCATCCCACCATTTCCAGAGCCCAGCCAGGACACTCGCAGGACCAAAGAGTAAGCCTTGAGCACTGCGGGGTGTGGCCCTCAAACAAACAAACCAACAAACAAACAGAATTTCTAGTCTGCAGTACCATTTCCCAGGCCTGAGGAGGAGATTCCATCCTGCCGCCAGGCCTGGATTCTTCAGAGGTCAGGTCCCACCAGGCGGTTCCCACAAGTGCTCTGGGGGGCGGGCTGGGCCACTGCAGGGGGGGGGGGGGGCAGGGTTGGGGGGGGAGGGTTACAAGCACCACCGAAGGCCAAATCGGCTCCCTTTGTTCTTTGCTGGTCCTGAGCCTCCTCCTCAGTGATTGGAATCAATGCACGGCCAGGCACACTCCTGAGCACAGTAGGAACGTGGGAAGTTCTTCCCGTCCAACAAGACCGATGTCACGGACATAACGATCCAGAGCTCAGAGCGGGTTCGAGCATAGCCTTTGCACTGAGAGACCCGGGCTCCAACCCTGGCACTGCCCAGTTCTCCCATGCCCTCAGCACCGCAGGGAATGGCTCCAAAACCATCACAATAAAAACGCCAGCCTTGGGGCTGGGAAGATGGGGGGGGGCACTTGTCTTTAGTCTCCACAGGAAATCCCAGGTGGATCCCAGCATCCCCTAAGCACTGTGTACCTCCAGGAGTGATCCCTGAGTGCAGAGCCAGGAGGATCCCTGGATGTAGTCCAAAAGCCAAACCAAGGAGCCAAAAGCACTAGCTTTTGAGGCCTCAGTACCATTCCCTGTAGTTGAGGGTGGGGAAGGCAGCCACTTGACGCCCAGCCCAGGGGGTAAAGAACCAAAGGTTGAGTTCCGCCTGTCTCCACAGGGGCCATGATCTACTTGTCTGTCACCTAGCTACAGTGAGGCGTGGATGTGGGCGGAGCCAGAGTGTGGGATCTGCACGGGAGACCCAGCCTCATGCCTGGAACCCCACAGGCTCCGCTGAGCACTGCTGGTCGCGCCTTGTACCCCGACAAAAAGGAAGCACGAAAGATTCAAAGCTTCCGGTCCCCACCCTGAAAGGCCTTTCAACCTCCCAGAGGCCACGAGCACAGGGGTCTGAGCACAGGACACCTGGTGCTGTTCCCTGAGGCCCCGATGCAGCGCGGGGAGTAGCCCGCAAGCACTGCTGTGTGGCCCCGAAAGAAAAACAAAAGGAAAAAAAGAAAAAGAAGAAAAAGAGAGAAAAAAGGAGGAATGGGGGAAAGGAAGGAGGGAAAGAAGGAAGAAAGGAGGGAGGTAGGGAGGGAAGGAAGGGGGATGTATGTATGTGTGTGCGTGTGTGGGGTGGGGGCTTAGATGGTCCCAACGCCCTACAGATGTTTGCTTCCCGCAGCGGCCCAGATCACTCTGCAAATAGGGTCGATTCCCTATCTAGCTCTACCTCACCAGCTCCCCCTTCCCGGGTCACGGCACCCATGTCCCCGCTGATCCACCCCCTCTGGTCCAGGCGAGCTCCAAGCACCCATCCACCCCTCAGCCCCTCTAATCTGTGGACCGGAGCCTGCAAATCCCTCTGGCCTCCGAGCCCCGCCTTCACTCCTCCCCTAAGCCCCAACACCGGCGTCTCGGACACTCTCTAATTGCCCCTTGGTCGCTCCCCCTTCTCATCTGCCGCTCCAGCACGCCCCTCCCCGCCGCATCCCATCCTCCCACCGACATTCGATGTCCCACCGACATCCCGCTCATCACCTGCTTCGGGGACGACTGTGCTCTGCTGTCGCACGTCGCCCGTGTTGGCGCCAGGGGCCGGCTTTGGGGTGTGGGGAGAAGGGTGGAGTCACAGTGGCTGCTAAAGGGGACCTGGGCGCGGCGGCGGCAGCCAAAGTCTAGATCGGAGCGGTGAGCCCCGCCCACAGACACAGCCAGCCAACCGACAACGCCCAAACAGCTGAGCCCCGCCCACAGACATGCCCTCTGTGTAACCAACCAACCGGCACTCCCCAGAACGCTGAGCCCCGCCCTCCCACGATGCCAGTCAACCCTTACCATCCAGACCGATGAGTCCCAGCCCCCTGAGCCCCGCCCTCCCCACTGCTATCCAATTCTTGCAGCTCAGGCTGGCGCAGCTCAGGCTGGCTGGTGGAATACCCAGGCACCCATCCTTCCTCTAGGGTAAAGCCCCTATCCGGGGTCCCCACTTTTTTTTTGCTTTTTGGGTCACACCTGGCGATGCACAGGGGTTACTCCTGGCTCTGCACTCAGGAATCACCCCTGGCGGTGCTCAGGGGACCATATGGGATGCTGGGAATTGAACCCGGGTTGGCCGCGTGCAAGGCAAAGGCCCTACCCGCTGTGCTATTGCTCCAGCCCTTAGTCCCCACTCTTAATAACAGCACAGTTCAAGAGGCTCCGGTTGCACGGGGGCAAAGACAGCATTCTTCGTGGCCTGGGCTCCTCGGCATTGTAGTTCTACCCATGACCTGCATATACAGGTGTTTGACCTGAGGTGGGGGGGATGTGTCCCTCTAACCCTGAAGTACCCAAACCCCAGTTCATCTTTCATCTCTGGCTCCTCACAGGGCTGGTAGATTGGACGCATGAAACCCCAAGTTCAACCCTTGAAACCACATGGGACTCTGAGTACCTGGGGACATACCCTTGGTGTTCCCCTCAAACTGCTTTAGAGTTCCCTCCCAAAAAAAGAGCAGCGGGTGCTCAGGTGTCAATGTGCATACGTGGGAGGGCTCATTAAGGGTCTGGAATGTTTGAGGCTGGGGGTTGGGGGTGAAGACCAGATAAGCTTGTCCAGCTTCCAGGGGGAATCCCAGAGCTTATCTTTCGCATCCCTTCAAGCATCTCTTACAGATGCTTAGAGATGGGTACAGGCCAAACCTCAGCCTGAAGGGGCAAGGCTTTGTGGGAGGCTAAGTCTAATTACAGGCCGTGGGGTATAGCAGGGAGTGAACCACATGAGCTGAGGTGTAACCCGAAAATCTAAACTAAAAGTGAAAGAGAAAGGCAACAGGGCTGCAAAGTGGCTTCTGGTGGAGTGCTTCTGCATAAGAGGCTGCAGTGCACCCTCCCAGCACTGCAGAACAATCCCTGGGGCAGGCAGATCCGAGGGGCCAGCCTTGCAGATGACCAGCTATCACCCTGCAGTCCATATAATTCCCACAGGAGTAATTCCTGAATGCAGAGCCAGATGCAACCCCTGAGCATTGCTGGGTGTAGCCAAACAACAAACAAAAACTTAAATAAACAAACGAAAAAAATAATGCCTGCCCACAGGGGTGGAGACAGTTCAAAGTTGTAGCTCAGGCTGTTTAGGGTGCACGGAGAAGCAGGAGAAACGGTCAGATTCTGTGTCCTGCTCCGGGGACCCCACTGTGTGGGGTGACTGGGTGGGAAACAGGAAGGGCATGCTTGTTAGCCCCCCAAACTCAGAGGAAAGGGCTGGCAGGGGGTGGGTGAGGACAGATGCTGCGGAGCAACACGGAATAAAAAAAAAAGGCTTTTACTCTTCTCACACGCGGCTCCAGAGGGACCCCTGAATTGTGCGGGGGGCTCCACAGCTCTCACGCCCACACTCAGACTCCTTAGTCTACAGCCTGGAAGATCCATCCGCGGCCAGTGGGGTAGGGCGGTGCAGTCCGAGAGGTCCCAGGGTGTCCCAGCCATGACATCTACGCTGAGATGTGCAGTGTTTGTCCTTTTCCCTGGCCCCAGACGCCGGCTAACTTTGGGGCGCGCAGTCCAGGGGCCCGGGGCTAGAGGGTGGAGTCGGTGGGTGGGCTACTGCCCCCGCTGTCGGGCAGCATGATGCGGGTGCTGATGCGGGAGGCCGTGTAGCCGGGGGACGCGCGCCCCTCGCGGCGGCGGCAGGTATAGCAGAGCAGGCGGCGGAAGGTTTGGCGCATCTCGGCGTCGCGGAATGAGTAGACCACAACGTTGAAAAGAGAGTTGGCCTCGGCCAGCAGCAGGAAGTACTTCTCCACGGCCAGCACGTTGCAGGAGCGGCAGCCCAGGCCGTCTAGTAGCAACACCACCTGGCCCGGCGTCCAGCACACCACAAAGGCGCCTGCAGCGGTGGGAGGGTGCTGAGTACACTGGGGGGGGGGCAGGGACTGGGTGCTCCCACTGCAGCATCCCCAGCTCAGTCCCAGCCTGACATGGGGGACGCGGCCCCTGACCCACGGTAGCAGCAGAGTCCTGGGGATTAGTTTGGGGGGGTGGGTGGATGAAACCCAGTGATGCTCAGGGCTTATGCCTGGTTCTGCACTCAGGAATCACTCCTCGCTGTGAATCTCTGTGGGGTGCCAGGAATCAAACCTGGTCATCAAAGTAAGTGCCCTCCCCGCTGTGCTGCTGCTCCAGCCCCTGGGTGGCAACTCCTTGTGAATTGGCTAGGGAAGTTTGGCTTCTCCATTGCCCCCATTTGAGATTCCACAGAAGGAAATTCATCACCCCTCTCCCCAGGGAGAGGTGGGTCATGCCCCTGTAGAACCAGCATCTCCCACTATGTACTCCCAGTCTTTCTTTTTGCAACCCCCACCGGGAGTGCAGGGGGCTCTCATCCAACCCTCAGCCCCACGTGATGCTGAGACCACCAGGTCCACACCTGTACATGAGAGCGGGGGAATCTGACTCAAATCAGTCTGGTCTGCGAGTGGGGGTCCCAGCCCCGCGGCCCTGCCCGGGGGTGGTGAGAGCCTCCACTCACCCAGAATGATGGCGACGGTCTTCACCAGGCTGACTGTGGTCTCGTGGTAGCGGGGATGGCAGCTGACGTGCTCTGCCATGCGCTGGACCCGGCGGCGCACGTAGAAGAAGATGCGGATGTAGACGACCACCATGAGCAGGAAGACCAGCAGGTTGGACAGGGCCCAGACGGCCAGGTAGGAGCGGCTGAGCAGCGGTGCCATGCGGGAGCAGCGGTCCAGCGCGCACAGGCAGTGCCAGAAGCGGGCGGGCAGCAGTCCCAGGCCCAGCGCGACCACCCACACCGCGGCGATGAGCAGCACCACGCGGCCGTGGGACAGGCGGCTGTGTAGTTGCACGGACATCACGCTGCGGTGACGCTCCACGGCGATGGCCAGCAGCGTGGCCACCGAGGCCGTGAGGCTGGCGTCCAGCAGGCCCTGGCGCAGGAACCAGACGTTCAAGGACAGGCCGGCGGTGTTGGGGCCTGTGTTGCACATGAGGAAGAAGTAGGCCAGGCCGGCGAACAGGTCAGCGGCTGCGAGGTTAGCCAGCAAGTAGTAGATGGGCTGGTGGAAACGGCGGTTGGAGACGATGGCCGTGATGACCAGCAGGTTGGTGAACAGCACCAGCAGGCTGACTGTTAGCCCCAGGGTCACTACCAACATGTCCTTGGGCCTCCAGTGCTTGCTGAGTTCTTTCCCGCTGTTGTTGTAGAAGAAGCTCACCGACTCATTGTGGTAGCACTGGCCCATGGCGACGGTGGGTGCGCCCCCGCGGAGCGCAGGTGGCTTTGGGGAGAGGCTGCGGGGACAGGAAGGACCCGCCGGTTTAAGCGCTCTAAGCGCTGGAGCAGCACCTAGCAGGGGAGGGGGAGGGGAAACAAACTTGGCTGGTGGTTCCGACGCGCCGCCAGGTCCAACTGCCGTCAGGTTGGGCTTTTTAACAGCTGGATGAAAAGCTAACCCCCCCATGCCCACGTGCTGCCAGTGGTGGGGTAGGGGTGGGGGGAATCTGTGAAGGACAAAGAGGGTGAGCGGCGAGAGAAGGGGCCGGGGTAAGTAAGGGGTCGAGGGAGAGGGGAGGAGATGGGGCGATCCCAGTGCGCACCGAGATTCCTCACGCACCGCGCCCAGCAGTGGGCGCCAACGTTCCCGGTGGGTGGGGGGGGGCGCCTAGAGTCCCGGAGGCCTCCGGGACAAAGAGGGGAGAAGTCGGTTAAGGAGGCGGGGTGGTTGCCCCCGGTGCTCCGGGGCTGGCTGGGGGAGAGGGCGGGGAGCAGGGGCGGCGCCCGGGCCCGCGGGCAAGTTCCACGCCCACCCCGGGCCCCGCGCGCCGTCCGTGCCAGCCTCACCTGGGCCGCGCGTCACGGCGCACGCGGGGCGGCTTGGTGCGGGCGCGTCCGGCACCCATGAGCCAGCCCGGCGACAGGGGCGCAGGAGCAGCCGGGTGCGCCCGGCTCGGCGGCGTTAGAACGCGGGAGGAGGGTCCCGCCTCCGCCCCGCTCGCGCCCCGAGTCCCACCCCCGCCCGCGCGCCCAGCCTGAGTCCGGCCCCGCCCCGACACGCCCCAGCTACGCCCTCACCTGGAGCCACGCCCCTCCGTTCCGGCGTGGGGGCCCATCGGCGCCTGGGGCCAGTCCATGGTCGCCCGGAACCGCAGCCCCCCCATTTCCTCTTGCCTCGCGGCACCCCCGATCGCCCCTCCACTTCCGGTCAGGACCACCCCCTCCCCACCGCACACCTCGCGTTCCCGCGGCTTCGGGTTTCGGGGTGAATCATCCGCGGTCGCGAACTCCTGCCGTGCGACCTTGCGCCCGGGCGCAGCTCCGGGTGGTCTCGGGGCGAGGCAGGCCGGCCCCACCTCGCCCGCTCTCGCGGCCAATCGGCTGCCGCGCTGCAGGTCCCGCCCTGATCCCACCTCCGGCTGCCGGGACCCCCGCCCGTCGCCTCAGCAAGCAGCGCGCCCCCCGCCCGGCCCAGGCCTGCGGCGCCGCGCCCACGGCCCTATTGTCCGGGTTATCTTGCCCCGTGCTGTTTGCAGCATTACGCAGCCCTGGATCGGGCGGCGGACCATCTGCTGGGCTGGGCCGGGTGACTCAGCCTCGTGCCCAGGCCCTGCCCGGTACCTGTAGGTACAGGAACGTCGGGGCTCACTTACCACCTCCCAGACACCACCCCTCTGCAGAGACGCGGCCTCCAGGTGCAGACAGGGTTTATTGAGATTCACGGGGCGTGGCGGGGATGGGGGTCCAGTCCATGCCCACCCAGCCTGGCACCCAGTCTGGTCAGCAAAAGTGGCAGAGGCTTTTTGGGGTTCCTCCTCTTCTCTGTCCAAGGGTTAGAGACTAGGGGCAACCCAAGAACCCCACGACCTGTATTGACCCTGAGTGTTGACCCTGAGCAGCCCCGAATTCTGATGATGACCGGGGTCTAGAGGGGAGCCCCTCTGCGAGCTGGGGGGATCTTTCCTCACCGGTATCTCCAGGCACCCCCCACACAGTGAATTCCTGGGGGACATCCTGGGTCCCTGGGTGACAATGGTCAGAGGCGGTCATCCACTCCGTCCACCACCTGGGTGTCAGGGCGGCAGGAGGCCTCGCACACGGCTTCCTCGGGCAGCTTGGCCAGGAGCCTGGCAGTCTCCTGGGTGATCTCGAAGTGCTTGGGCAGAGGGGCACGGCGTAGGGGGCTGCTGTCGGGAGAGGACATTGTGGCACCCCGCCCCCGCAGACTCCCCGTGCAGGGGGCGGCCCTCAGGGGCTCCTCTTCACACAGTTTGGAAGAGGACAGCTGGTGGGGGACCGGCCTTGGCGGGCCGCCTCGAGGATACTTCACAGGCTGGCGGCTGAAATGGCCCCGAGACTGTGTCCCCAGTAGCGAGTCCTCAGAGCCCTGGTCAGAAGCTGTGAGGAAGGGGTGGTCAGTGCTGAGCTCCCCCACCCCCACCTCCCACTCCTGGCCTCTCCAGTGCACTCACCGGCTTCTCCTGGGTCACTGGCATCTTCCAGCGCTTCCGTCTGGACGGACTGTGGGGCTGGAGTCTGCAGGGAGACCCAAGCTAGTGGGCATTGCTGGGGAGCCCCGGGTTTGTGCCCGACATAACAAATGGCGTGGAGCATGGACGGCCAGCCACTCAGCCCCACACTGAAACCTTGCTGTCCCCGCCTGGTGCTGGCTACCCTGAGTCCTGGTCAGACCCCTACTCCAGCTCTCCCGTGGGGTGGGGCGCCGCCTCTAGGAGTTTCATGGGCAAATAAACGCCTTTTGTGATCCCGTGCTCAGGGATCACTCCTGGTGGGGCTTGGGGGAACCGAAGGTGATAGGGCAGGAGCCCAGGTCAGCTGTCCCCGTCCTCTGACTCCCCAGCATTGACATTCCGGCCACTAGGCCCAACGACCCTGCACCCCCTTCACTCCTGGGCCTTGGCTGGACTGTGGCAGCCGGGGTCGGGGGGCGGGGGCGCTCACAGCAGGCGGGATCGAACCCAGGGCTGGCTCAGGCAGAGACTGTTGATGCCGGAGCCTGGGAAGGTCTTTCTTTGCGGATCTTTTTTGGTCCGGGGACCTCCCCGTAGTTATCGGTTCTGCCTGTTTTTGTGGATTTTGGGGCCACACGCTGCAATGCTCAGCAGCTTTGGCTGGCTGGGCTCAGGAGTGACTCCCTAGTAGTGGTGGGACCACATTCACGCTGGGGACTGAGCCAAGACTGGCTCAGTGTAAGGCAAATGCCTTAAGCACCCCTAAAAATTCTTAAGGAAAAGGAAGGAAGGAGTGAGGGGAGAGGGAGAGAAAGAAAGGAAAGTGAAGAAAGGAAAAGAAGGGAGGAAAGGACGGAGGGAGGAATGCAGGCAGGGAAGGAATGGAGAGAGGAAGGAGAATAGGAAGGAGTAAGGACGGTAGGGAAGGGATGGAGAGAGGAAGGAGGGATGGAGGAAGGAGGGATGGAGGGAGGGAAGGAAGGAAGGAGGGAGGGATGGAGGGAGGGAAGGAAGGAGGGAAGAAAAAAGGAAGGAAGGAGGGAGGAAGGAAGGAGGGATGGAAGAAGGAAAGAGGGAGGAGGGAGGGAGGGAAGAAGGGAGAAAAGGAGGGAGGAAGGAGGGAGGGAGGGAGGGAGGCCGACCCCAGAGAGACCCTCCCATGCCCAGAGCCCCGGCTTCCTACCTCGGGGTCTGTGGGCTCAGAGCACATCTCCAGAGCACTGTGGGGGTCGGCATTGGTGTCGGAACTGGGCTCTGAGGTCAGGGAGTCCAGGCTAAGGCGTGGAGCCTCAGGACTGTGTGTGAGGAGCCCGGGGTCGGGGGGCAGCTCTTCCAGGCCAAAGATGTGCTCGTAGTGCAGAATGAGGAACTCGACCAGCTGGGCCTGGTGGCCCGAGTCCAGCAGACAGGCCACTGCGGCAGGCCCGGGGCCAGCGGGGGCGCGCAGCAGCGTGGGCCCGAACACGATGCCCAGGTTGTTGGCCGACATCTTGTTCTCCGCGAACTGCGCGGCCACCCTGGGGACAGGGAGGGCCCAGGCTTCAGAAAACATGGTGGTCACCGGCCGGAGAGGCGGGGCGATCCCCAGTACCCCAGGAGGTTTCCCGAGCCCCTGGGGATTGATTCCTCCACAGAGCCAGGAGTAACCTCCCAGCATCGCCAGGTGCGGCCCCCAAAAGAAAACCAGGAGCTCAGAGGTGGGAGTAGGGGGGCAGGTAGGGAGTTGGGGGGCACCTGGTGAGGTGCGTGGGGAGGGGGCACCTGGCTTGTGGGGCAGCTGGTGAGGGGGACACCTGGTGAGGTGGGGGGTCAGCTGGCGAGGTGGGCGGGGAGGGGGCACTTGGCAAGGTGGGGGGGGCGGTGACCTGGTGAGGTGGGCGGGGGCGGAGGGGGGGGTCGTCACCTGGCGAGGTGGGCTGCGAGGTGGCGCAGGGTGCTGTAGTTGGAGTCTGGCAGCTGCAGCAGGAGCCCCTTGAGCGCGCGGATGGTGTCAGGGCTGGGAACGGGGTTGCTGGGGACCCGCCCCGGGTCAGGGCGCAGCGTTTTGGCGAGAGACATGAAGGCATCATAGAGGTGAAAGGGGACCACGGGCTCCGGGAGCTGGGGAGAAAGGCGGGAGGCAGGGGTGGGTGGGCGGCACCCTGCCCCCGCCCCCCCTCCCCGCCTGTGGGCACCTACCTCCTGGAGGAAGCGTTTCAGGACACCCGCGATGTCATGTGGGGAGTGCCCAGACAGGTCCACCAGTGCGCGGCCGTTCTCGAAGGCCTGGCACAGCCGCTCCATGCGCACCCGCGACCCGCTCACCCGGTAGATGCCCTGCAGGGGTGGGGGGCGGACATGCGAGACATGCGGCCTCGAGACCCCTGAGCTGGGGGACAGGGTCAAAGGGGGAAGGAGGGAGGCACCTGCACATTCAGGCCGCGCTGCTCCATCTCCGCCGTGCACCGGGTGACCAGGAAGGGCACCTCCTCCGGGGAGTCCCTGGGGAGCTGCAGGAAGTCGACCCCGAAGAGGGCCAAGCGGGCAGGCAGCCGACGGTGGCCGCAGAGGATCAGCAGCGTCTCCAGGCAGCGCTTGTGGCAGGTCAGGAAGCACTGGGGGTGGGGGCAGGGGCAGGGGTCACAGGGGGCCTGCGGGATCACGTACAGGGGAGGAAGGCGGTGCGGTTGCGTGGGGTGCGCACCTCCTCACACTCCGTCCCGCTGACCATGAAGGCGTCACACTCCCGGCACTTGGCTGGGCCCCGCAGCCGCCGGAGCCGATGGGTCTGCGCCGCGCCTGACAACGTCCACTTCCGGAAGGGGCTGCCCTGCCCGTTCTCCAGCCCATCGCCCAGATCTGCTGGGGCCGCAGGGCCTGTGGTCAGGGGTGCGGGCGCCACGCCCCCCCACCCCCACAGGGGCTGTGTGCTTCCAGTCTTACCCGGTTCTCGCTCCTCAAAGTCGTCGGAGGACTCAGTGCCCGTGGACGGGACTTTCACCAGCCGCCGGGCGCCCGCGCCTAATGGGTGGAGGCATGGGGTGGATGTGGGGGCCAGTGGGGGTCACACCTTCCACAACCACCCAAGATGCCATCGGGGACAGGGTCAGCCGCCAGCGCGCAGAAGGGGGGTGCGAAGAAGCTGCTCAGAGGCATGGGGCAGGTTGGAGCGGGGGACAGGGTCAGGGCTGGGTCCTGGCCACACCTGGGCTGGAAGTGGGAGAATCCAAGGACCTGGACTCACTGTCCCCGTCGCTGGCCGGAGTGGGGCCTAGGAGAAGAAGGTTTGTGGGTCGGTGTGCCCCCGCTGGGCTGGACCCCCGCTGCCTGTGCCCCTTCCTGATGCACTCACCGTGCCAGCCTGCACCTGCGTCCCGCCAGGATCCCTGCTCCGCGGGGCTCTCCTCCAGCCGAGGTGGGGGACCTCCAGAATGCTTCCTTCCGTCCAGAGGGGAACTGAGAGGGACAGTTTGAAGTGTGGCAACCGGGACAAAGACTGCCGCGGGGTCCCCACATACACTTCCCCGTGTCCAGGACCCAACTCCCCGGATTGCAATATGCAAGCCTTGTCATCACCCCCAAATCCTGCCCCTCCCGAAACTAGCACCCCCTCTTCTAGAGGTGTGTGTTTGTGTGTGTGTGTGTGTGTGAGCAATCTGCCTCCCCATCCTTTTGACCAGCAGGGCGTGCTCGCCGAGGGGCGGATGCAAGGGCGCACCTGCTTGCGCTGGGCACGAACTCCTGGAAGGTAAAGGCCGGCGGCGGGGCCGGCGGGGCCTCGGGCCGCAGCGCGCGCACGAATTCCTGGTAGCGCTGGCCCGGTTCGAAGGGCGCGCAGCACTCGGCCAGGGCCGAGAAGCCGCGGGGACCCCGCTCGGCCTGCGCACCCCGCAGCTCGAACAGTCCCAGGGTCACCTGTGGGGGAGGGCGGTGCACGTGGGCGTGGTCACGGCAGGGGCGGGGAGGTGGGCGGGGTCTCAGGGGAGGGCGGGGCCTGGCTCCCACGAGGTTGGTTCCTGGGCCCAGACCGGGCGGGAAGCCGGGGTGGCTGCGGCAGGTTGCTGCTCACCCGCCTCAGCACTTCGTCGCCCTGCAGCACCAGCTTGCGCACGTGCGACACGATCCGCTGCTTGGTGGCCTCCAGGTCCTGCTGCCGCGCGTTGGCCTCTCGCACGCAGGCCTGGTACAGCGTCTCGGCTTCCAGCGCCTGCGGGAAGAGGGGCGCGGGGGGCGCATGTGGAGGCGTGCCGCAAGCCCGGGGGTGTGTACTGGAGCGAGGGCTGTCGCGTTCGATACCCACCTTGGCCTGGGCCTCCTCCCGGGAGCGCCGCCTCCTCTCCTGCTGCTTGCTGGGCCCCGGGGACGCCTGGGGCGCCGGGTCCTCGGGGGAGGCCTGTGAGCGCGCGCGCAGTTCCTCGCAGCGCTGCACGTACTGCAGCTGCGCGCGCCGCAGCGCCTGCACGGCCTCGTTCTGCGGGGGGTCTCGGGTCACCGGGGCGGGAGCGCGAGGGGCGGCGCCCGCACGGCCCCGCAGCCTCCCACCCCTCGGCTCACCATGCGCTTCTGCTCCTTCGTCCACTGCTCCTTGAACTCCTTCCGCCACTTTTCGATCTCCAACCGCTTGGCCGCCAGGGGCTGGGGTGGGGGGCGGGGGACGCCTTTCAGCCTCGGACCCCATTTCCAGTCGGATTCTTCTCACCCGGCCCTCTGCTCCCTTACTGCCCTCGCGGGGTTCCCCATGCCCCCCCCCCCCCACACACACACCCTGTCTCCCGGACGCCCCAGCACACAAACAGTTTAGCAATGGCTGTTTTGAATCCCGGCTGGGTTTCCTGGGGCCAGTTCCTCAGCACCCCTGGGCCTCAGCTTCCTCCTCAGCAGATGGTAGGGGTGGGGAGGGGCTGGGGGGTGTAGGGGGGGTGCATATAGCAGGCCCTCACCTGGCTGTAATCTCTCTTCTGCTGTGCAGCTGTCTCCAAGGCCAAGGTCCCCAGGCTGAGGTCGTGCTCCAGGAAGAGTGTATAGATGTACTGCAGGGGCATGTGGCTCTGGGGGGCGGCGGGAGGGGGCCGTGAGGAGGGTCGAGAACAGGCTGGGGACTGTGGGGTCTGGGCAGGGGCTAGCGCTGCTACCTGCTGGTGGATGGACACTTTGCCGGCCTCCGCGAGTTTCATGATGCCTTTGACGAACTCCAGCTCTGCAGGAGATACGGGTGTGAGAGCGTGCGGGGAGAGGGGAGTTTAGGGGTCCTGTGGGTGCGCTGAGGGGCTCACCGAGGCTGGCTCTCTTCTCTGTCCAGGCCAGCAGCTCCTTGGCGTAGCGGCCCCAGGTCTTGGCGTAGTCCAGGGCAGCATCCACGCCCCCCTTCGTCCGGACCAGCCTCAGGTCCAGCTCCTCCTCTGGGGCAGATGGGGGCGTGCCTAGGACCCCCGCCTTCCCTTCCCCTTCCCCCGACCCCCCACCCCAGACACACAGGGGCTTCTTCTCTGCCGTCCGCCCCCCACTGCCATTTCTGGTCGTGTCCCTCTACCGGCTGGGGCAGGCTGTGTGCAGTGATAGAGTGTGGGGTCATCCTAGGGAAGCCCCCCTACCTGACAGGGGCACAGGAGCCTCCAGGGAGGGCCCACTCCACTGTATCGGTTCATTGGTCTGACAGGAGAGGGGCACAGCGCTGAGGGGCAAGAGGGGCAGCGGGCCCACCCATTAGAGCCCCTCTTCCTGTCCCAACCCCCACTTCCCGCCCCCAGACTCACCACAGTGCCTGTGAGGGTCTTGTCTGAGTCAGGGTCTCCAGAAAGCACCGGGTCTCCAGCCAACATCTCCAGGGTCCTGGGAACTAAAGCTGTCAGTCTACTGGGGGGGAGGAGGGCTCCAGGGCAGGGGGGTTCCTGGATATCACTTCCAAGACATCCCCTGGACCTGGGAGGTCGGCGTGGGGGGCAGGTGAGCACTTAACACCCCAGGGGACTCTGGGGCTCAGACTGATCTTAGGACGGGACCTCAGATTTTAAGGGGGTTCTAGAAGAATGAGTTGGGGTCACCTGGGTCCACACTGGGGATTGCCAGTGGATTGAATTCCAGGGTGGATCTGATTGGCACCTCAGGCTGGAGCCCCGGAAAAAGTTAGGGATGTAGGGGGTGGTCCTGGCTGGATTTGGGGTGACCCAGGCATAGACTCACACGTTCCCCAGTGAGATCTCAAGGTTGTCCAGGCTGTGGAATATGTCGCTGTACCTCTTCCTACCCTCGGGGACGGGTGGTGACCCTGGAGGTGTGTGCTGTGTCACCCAGGGCCAATGAGGACCTCCCTCGACCCAGGGTGGGCTGGGGAGGCTCACATACACACTTATTTGGAGGCAGGGAGGAAGAGGAGAGAGACGGGACAGGGAGGGAAGGAGGCAGAACGACAAAGCGTGGGGCCTGGAGAGGCAGGGGTTGGCTGGCCCTGGAGCTAGAGGGATGGGGGGCAGTGGGGGACAGATGGACTCGCACAGGCAGACAGCTGCTCCGAGGAGCCGCAACACCCACACAAACGCGGGGGTGGGGGCGGCCAAACAACACACAAGCCCCAGATGCAGCCACTTCTCCCGGCACCCCCCTGCCCCCTCCCCCGCCCCGAGAGAGAGCGCACTTGACAATGGAGCCGCTTGCACCTCGGGGCCTGACAGATGGACACGCACGTGGGCCAGGCAGGCACGGCGACGGCGGGAATCACCAGGGACGCGACTCGCCGGGAGCCGCACAAAGACCGGGACAGAGGACGGCCTGGTCGCCGCCGCGAGTGAGGGGACCCTGCCAGCGCCCCACCGGGACTCCCCGCCCCCACCGCAAATTTCACAAGCAGAAGCGGCTACTTCCCTTTCCTGGCCCCTTCCCCCAGCATCCGGGGTGCGGGCTCCAAAGGGGGCGGCGGGGCACAGGGCGGGTGTTCGGTGCCTCTAGCCTGGGGAGGGCCCGCCGTGGGGGCTCCCCGCCTGCTCCCCATTCGGGAACTCTCGGCCCCGCTCTCTGGGCACGGAGGGACAGGCGGCGCCCGCAGTTTAGGAAGTGGGGGACTCCCCTCTCTAGTTCCGTTTCCCCACCGCCTACCCGGCTCGGCTGCGTCCATGGCCCGGGTCCGAGGGTCGTTCGGCAGGGACAGGGACAGGGACGGGCGGGATCGCGCGCCGGCGGGGCGCAGCCCCGGTTTCCTGCGGCGGCCACGGCTGGCCCAGTTCCGCACCACGCCCGGCAGCCCCGCCCACCGAGGCCCCGCCCCCGCGGCGCTTCCGCTGAGACCCCGCCCCCAGCCAGCGCCAGGCTCCGCCCCAAAGACCAGTTCGAGCCCCGCCCAGCTGCGCGGCCACTTCTCTAGCCCAGGCTGGAAGGACCACTGGAAGTCCAGAGAGCTTCATCCTGTATCAGGGCTCCCAGCCCAAAGCCCCAGCACATTTCCCTCCCCCACCAGTCTTTCACACTCAAGACCTGGATGGTGCCAACCTGCACCCCTGAAATCCGCTCCTGCCTAGTGGCGCCGCGGCGCCCCCTGGTGGAGGCCTGATGCCCTGTCCCATTCTGGCTGGAGCTGAATGGCCTTGTCACCGGGCGGGCTCCTGCAGCTGACCTTGTGCTGAGGACGCTGGAGGGCACCCAGACTCAAGCCCACAAACCCCTGGAGGGCTCCCCTTGTGCCGGGCATCTTGCTTTCCTAGGGACCCACAGCCCTGTGGGGCACGCTCCAAGTGCAGGGCACAGGACAGCTTCTCAGCTGTCCATTTGGCTTGCGACCAGGTACTCCAGAACCCCATGGGGCCTTTGGCAGGACAATGGCAGATGAATGCATCCTCCACCCACACACAGAGGCACACACAGGCTTCTTAAAACCGTGGATACTACTTTATTCACCAGAGGTGCTTCCTGGGTGGATTCTGCCCCCCGCAGGCCCCGGGGTCCCCCTCAGTCCAAACCCCAAGTGGCTCTGCCTGCCAGGGGGCCAGGGGCACAGCGGGTGCTGCCACTGCCCTCTCAGGAAGGCACTTTCAGCTTTGGGGTTCCCAGGAAGAACTGGAGGATGCGGTCAGCCAGGAACGCCAGGCAGAAGTCCAGCACGAGCACGTGGCCGATGACCACCTTGAACTGGGGTGGATACGAAGAGCTGTGAGCTCCTGGGGGGTCCTGGGGGCTCCCCAAGGCCATACCCTGAGATCACTCACCTCCACTGGGATGTCCACCAGGCCAAACTGGCTGTTGAGGTCAGGTGAGGAGCCCAGGAGCAGGCCGACGACGGCCAGCAGGGACAAGGCCAGGCTCCACACCAGTGGCCGGTTCTCGGGGAGACTCTCCATGAAGGGTGGGCCCTGCGGGCAGGGGAGACGTGGGGTTGGAGGGGCTGGACGGGGTCAGAGGTCAGAGGGCTGGAGAGGGCCAGGGGTGTCGATGGGGTCGGGCAGACCTTGTAGTTGATGGCGAAGGTGGCCATCTGCATGGCCATGGCCATGATGTACACAGTGCTGTTGACCAGGCTGGGCTCAAACTCCTTGTACAGGTCCACAAACTGCTCCTGCCTGTAGGACGGGACGTTCACCGGGGTGGCGGCTCAGAGCTGAGTCGTCCCATCCACCCCTGCCCCAGCTCCTGCCCCCAGCCTGCACTCACTTCTCGGGGCTGCGGGCCTGGGCCTCACGGTACAGGTAGACGAGGCTGAAGAAGTGCACACAGAACTGCAGTGCCACGGTCAGTGCTGTGTACAGGTTGAAGATACTGGGGAGGGGTCGCTCTCGGGACAGAGTCTTGAGGGGCTGTGGGGCAGAGGGGGGGAGAGGGGCACAGGGTCAGCAGCCGTCCTGGCCCCCGCCCCCAGGGCATCCCTGATGATGGGGTCTGGGTGGCTGCAGCACCCACCTTGGAGCGGGAGATGAAGAGGAAGCAGCCGGCCAGCAGCAGGCCCTGCAGTGTGGCCTGGAAGTCACTGAACTTGACGCCCTCCAGGTAGAGGACGCTCTGGCTGTAGGCCAGGATGAGCGCATTCAGCGCCAGGATCTTGAACATCTGCAGTGTCGTCACCAGCGTGCAGCGGCCCTGCTTGATCACGTGGCAGACTGTGGGGGAGGCAGGGGAATGGGGGTGAGGCCCAGGTTGGGCGCCCAGGGGCACGGGGAGCCGGTCGGGGGTACTCACTGCATTGGATGGACGAGAGCTTGGAGGTAAAGGGGGCGGCTATGCTGGCGTCCCCCAGCTTCACAATGGGGGTGCTCTCGTCCTCGAGGTCCCGCAGCACCTGGCTCAGGCGGTCCTGCGGGTGGCAGGGGGCAGGGGGCAGGGTGAGTCCAGCAGGGGGCTGGGAGTCCTGGGGGCCACTCCGAGACTCACCCGCTGGGAGGCTGACTGCTCTTCGGTGGGTGGGAGCCCCGACTTCTGTCTGGTGGCCCTGGAGGTGTTCCTGCCGCCGCCGCTGAGGACGGGGCTGTCCCGGGGGGGCCGCCGTCGCCGCTCCACCACCCTCTCGGGGGCGTTGGCCAGGAGCGCCACGCCTGCAGGGACGCGGGGGTCAGGAGCAGGGAAGCCTGCCTGGGGCCACACACTCCCCCGGCAAACGGACGCCAGCGCTCACCTACGTCGGCGTGCTTCAGGGCACCCACGTCGTTGGTGCCATCCCCGCACATGAGGGTGATATAGCCCAGCTCCTTGAGGCTGGTGATGACGAACTCCTGTGTGGAGAGAGCCAGACAGTCAGGCTAAAGAGATGCTGCGCTCTGGGCCCCGCCCCACCCGGGGACCACTGGCACCCACCTTCTGCTTGGGGGCCACGCGTGCAAACACCTGCACGTGAGGGATGAGGCGCAGCAATTGCTGGGGGTCCTGGCCTTGCAGGTGGGCCAGGCCGTCGCCTGTGAGGCACAGCGCATACTTCTGCGCCAGGGCACGGGGCGAGCCAGGAGCCAGGGGCAGGACGATGCTGCCATCAATGGAGCGCCACTCACAGGCGCCACCTGCAGGCCGCAGAGGGAACGACAGGTTGGCGCAGGAGGAGGGCGCCTCCCACCGCTCAGCACCCGCTCAGCACCCGCTCAGCACCCGCTCAGCACCCAGATGCAGGTTCCTGCCCCGGGGTCAGTGCTCCCCCACCAGCCCACTGACCCTTCTCGGGAGGCGGCTGCAGGATCAGGGTGTGCTCCGTGTCGATGAAGTGCAGCTCCTGTGCTACGTGGCAGGCCGTGAGCGGGTTGTCTCCGGTGATCATGACCACCTGTGAGAGCCGGATCAGAAGGGCCAGAGGTCCTGGGGCCCTAGCCGCCCCCGCCCCTGCATCGCCCCTCGAGCTGCTGTACCCGGTGGGAGGCGTTCTGGATCTCCCGGATAACGGCCTTGGAGTCGGCCTTGAGCGGGCAGGAGACCACGACGAAGCCGACAAACTTGAGGCCACTCTCCAGGGCATCTCGCTTGACCTCCCGGGCCTGGGGACACACGGGGATCAGAGGGAACAGCACAGGTGGCAGTCCCCACCTCCGATGTCTCCCAGGGCACAGGCACAGGGAGGTGACCTTACCTGCTGGTGGGTGAGGTGCCCGAGCTCCTTGTACCCCAGCGCCAGGACGCGGGCCCCTTCCCGGGAAATCTCCGTGTGGATGTGATGGTAATCGGGCGGGCACTGGGCAAACTGTGGGATGTGGAGATGTTACTGAGCGCCCAGCACCCCAGACCATCCCTACCCCTCACCCCCCGGGGGCAGCTCACCATGGAGTGCAAGGTTTCGGGGGCCCCCTTCACGGCTGCGATGTAGCAGAGGTCAGTGGAGCCCGGCTTCTCGTAGGAGGCGAGCACGGACATTCGCTTTAGGGCACTGGCAAAATGAAAGCGCTGGTGAATTTTCAGCCCCTGAGTTTTTATACTTCGGGGGAATACTTTCTCATCTGGAAACAAATAAGCAGGAGTCCTGAGGGCCTTCGCTCCAGCAGGCAGCCGTGCCCCTCGACCCCACCGCCTGCCTGGCTGTGGCCCTCACCTTTGGTCAGCGTCCAGTCCACAGCCATGAGCACGGCCTTCTCCAGGGGGTCACCCACCAGTGTGCCATCGTCCAGCTGCATGAGTGAGTGGCAGGAGGCCAGCGCCCGGTGCGTTTCCACGGGGAGCCCGCTCACGGGCGTCACCTCCTTCCCGTCCCTGTACAGGTGGGGTCAGGGACTTAGTGGGGACAGGTCAGCTGGGGAGAGGGAGCCCAGGACAGGTCAGTGGGCAGAGGGACGGCTATGTCCCCTTCTCACAATGCCCAGGGCACCTGCAGAAGACGCTTACCGCAGGCCTGCCACACCGCGCACCACCAGGCTGTCGCTGGTGAGGGTTCCAGTCTTGTCGAAGCAGCACACCTCCACCTTGCCCGCGAAGGGGATCCGGAAGGGCTCAGTGCAGTATATGTCTGCGGGAGTGAGCAGATAAGCTCGGCTGAAGGAGCCCAGGCTGGGCTGGCCCCGCCCACAGCAGCGCCCCACCCACCATGCACTCCACCAGGCCCGTGGCCCCGCCCACCACAAGCCCCACCCCGTACCCGCTCACCAGCCCCTCTGCACCAATCGTAAGCCCCACCCCGTGCACGCCCACAAGGCAGCTCACACAGCTTGGCCAGGGCGATGAGGGACGTGTTGACCGCCAGGGAGAGCTCGATGGGCAGCTCGGGGGGCACGACGGAGGTGAGGATGAGTGTGCACTCCAGGAAGAGCTTGTAGCGGCTGCGGCTGGGGTCCTTCGTGCCTGCGGACACACACGGGGGCTACCAGGTTGCTTCCCACTGGCCCAGCGGCGGGGTGGGCAGGCTGGGCGGTCAGTTACCCTCAATCCACACGTAGGCGGCTGCAGCCACAGCAAAGACCAGGAGGAAGAGGATGAAGATGAAAGTCTCCAGGTTGTTGGCCGTCACCCGCTTCACCCCGAAAAGGATGGTTCTCAGCAGTTTGCCCTGAGGAGACACCCACTTATCGAAGGGGGCCTGGGAGAGGCCAGGCCCTGCCCCCAGTCCTACCAGGACCACCAGGGCCACGGCACCAGGCACCGTGCTGCCACACCTGTGACGTGTTGAAGCCGGTCCGCAGCACGAAGGCCACACAGCCATTGTCCACCGCTGTGGAGGGGGAAAGCATGTCACCTGCGCTCACCCGCTCCCCACCCAGCTGGCACAGGCAGACCCGGCCACCCCCGAGCACCTACGCTTCAGGCCTGTGGTGGCCTTCTGGGGGGCGATGTGCTGTACCACCTTGGTGCCCCCAAAGATGATGTGAAGCCGGGAGTCGGCCTGGAGGTCCAGCAGGCGCTCGGGGCTGAGGTCCTCAATGGGTTCCTGGGGGTAGACGGGGCTGCGGCATCCGAGGGGGGTGGAAGCACCTCCCCCCCCCCTTCCCCTGCGAGAGGGCGCACCTTCATCTGGGGCACCGACTCCCCGGTCAGCATGGCCTCATCCACGATGCAGCGGCCCCGCAGCAGCAGCACGTCACAGGGCACCAGGTTCTCCTGCGGGGAGCGGCCTGTGGGCGGGCAGGGGTGAGGCCGGGCTCGGGCAAGCCGGGCGGGTGGGGGGGGGTTCTGGGCAGAGGGGGGACGTCCAGGCTGGGGCTCACCAATGGAGACAATGTCCCCGGGCACAATCTCATCGCTGGCCACTGGCCTCCACTTGCGGCTGCGGTAGACCTGCGCAGGGGCAACCGTCACTGCGGGGCTCAGGCGGGGGGGTGGGGGGGACGGGACGGACACGGGACCCCCTCACTACCCCATGCCCCTGGGGCCCCACCTGGATCATGTGTGGCTTATTCCCCATCTTGCGGATCTCCGACATGTTCCGCATCTGCTGCTGCACCAGGGAAGCCTCGAAGGCCACCAGCATGGACAGCGTGAAGACGCTGTAGTACCAGTACTCGTCCAGACACCAGAGCCCCACGCAGAACACCTGTGCGACACGAATGCCAGGGCCCGCAGGCACCAGAGCCCCCGCCCTCACCCTCCTGGGCACCAGAGCCCCCTCCGCCCCCCCCCCCCCGGCACACACCCTCCCAGGCACCAGAATCCCCCCCCCATGCTTGCCCCCCAGCACCCAGCCCACCTGGAAGACAAAGAAGGGAGCCGTGGCTCTCTCCTTGAACAGCTCCCAGAAGTCAGGCACTACCATCTCGGCCCTGCAGAGGGGACAGTAGGGTCAGAAGCACTGGGCAGGCGCCCACCCGTCTTGCAGCCTGGGAACACATGCACATGCACATACATATGCATACACACGCACACGCACGCGCACATGGGCTGCAGGCAGCTGCCCTGCAGAGGGGGACGCGTGCACCGCAGTGACATGCCAGGAGGGAGGGCCCTGAGCAGCTGGGACAGCTGAGTGCTCCCCACCCCCACCCCAGCTCACTGTCACTGGCCAGGGGCCCTCCCGCAGGGTGAGGGGGAACTGCAGACTGGCCCCGCCCCAAAGCCACTGAGGCCAGGGGAAGTGGCATCACAGCAACAGTTGGAGCTGGTTTGGGGAACCAGCAGGGGGCTGAGCAGGGGACCCCCCAGCACTAGCACATCCGGGACCAACCAGAGCAAGGATTTGAGGGAAAATGGGGCGAGAGAGGCCCAGAGCGAAGCTAGAAGGGCTGAGCTCAGGCTGTGCCTGCTGTGGGTGGGGGCCTCCCCTAGAAGGAGGGTGAGGGGCAAATCGGCAGCAGATGGAGGTGCCCCCTCGGCTCCCCACTCACTTGTTGCTGCCGAACTTCTTCTCAGCGGCGCGGATCTCAGCGGTGTCCTGCAGGCCCCGGCAGGTCTGGTAGAAGGAGAAGGGGTTGGCCACGGGGAAGGCGGCCGGCAGAAAGCGCTTCTTCTCCAGCCCATCGTAGGAGTACTTGATCTTTTGGAACTCGAACGACAGCACTTCCTGCCCATCTTCTCCCTGCGGGCGACGGGGGTCTGAACAGAGGCCGGGGACCGGGGGCACCGCCCGGGGCCTCTCCACGCCCGCCAGGCTTACCTCATCCCGCCGCAGGCACACTAGCTCTGTGGCGCCGTTATTGGGGGTGGGCACCACCTTCACCATGGTCACCTTGTTGGGGTCATATTCCTGCAAAGGCAGGGAACAGTGTCACTATTCCGGGGACCCGGGATTCCAGCCCATAGCCCCCAAGGCCTGGGGGCCAGCGCACTTGGCCACACTGCTGGCTGCTGGCCTCTGCGCCAGCTCCCGGGAAAACCCATCTGAAGCTGCTCCCAGGCCTGGGGAGTCAAAAGGCTGGAGCACCCCTGGCCTGTAGTAGGCCTGCCCGCCGCACCCCTGCACTGCTAAAAGAGGCCCGGGACCAATCACCACACAGGCATGCGCAGTGGGGCCAAGGGGCTCGGGGAGCAGGCACAGCCTCCGATACAAGGTTCTCCCAGGACTGATGATAGCGTTCAGGCAAAAAGCTGGGGCGCAGGCTTGGCAAGTGGAAGGCCTGGGGACGGCCAGACATGGCCCCCAAATCAAGGCCAAATAGAAGCAAGTCCCCTCCACCTGTTCCTCTGCCCTCCGGCTTCCCAGGGATCACTGGGCCAGACCCACCCCCCACCCAGATACTGGGTGACACTGTAAGTGAGGCACCATGCTTGTGGAGGGCACAGCTGCCTGAGCCAGCAGCAAATGAGGGCGAAAGCCAGACCCACCAACCTCCCGGGGCCAGAGTGGCAAGGAGCATGCCAGCGACTCTGCTGGCCAGCCTGGGCACGGCTGGCACCTTCTCCTTGGGCCTCTGAGGAGGCGCCACTGGCTCTTCTCACCTTACACCCTGTCCAAGCGCAACCGAGACCTCAGCTGCCAACCTGGTCCCCACTGCCTGTCTGGCCCGGGGGATACAGAAGCGGCTGCCAGGGCCACTGCAGACCCAGAGGAGGCAACAAGTCTGGGAACTGGGGACGCACTCCCTACAAGTCCTCTCCATTTCTCTCTTGGGGGGCTGTCCCCCATCAGAGGCAAAGCTGCGTGAGCCCCTCCAGTTCAGCTCCTGGCAGAGATGTGGGGGGGCTCACCTTTGGGGGGCGCTCAGGACTGATTTACTCCTGGCTCTGTGTTCAGGTTCACACCTGGCGTTCCAGGCGACCATATGTGGGGCCGGGGATCACATCCAAGTTAGCCACTTACAAGGCAAGCACCTTCCCTGCTCTACCTCCTCCAGACTCTCTTTGGCGAGTCTTTCCTTCTTGCAACACCCCCCGCCCTCGGGAGCAGAGGAACAGCCGGGGACACTCGCCCTCCCCCAATCTCGGGGCTAAGGGTCACTCCTGGCGCCTCACTGCTGCTTCCTGGGGGAATCCCCTGTCTCCGCCACAGCCCTCACGCTGCAGAGGGGAGGCGGTGACTGGAGGGCACACAGATGTCCCCAGCCCTCGCAGAACCGACGGGGCACGGGGGAACCCAGGGGCGCAGGGTGGGCGGGCGGGACCCCGGCGCGGAGAAGAGGCCGCCCGGGTTCGAGGGCGGCGCGGCCGGGGCTGCAAGGGCGGCCCGGAACCACACGGGCCGCGGGCGAGGGGTTCCGGCCCGGAAGGCCCCGGCAGCGGGGGGTCAGGTCGGCCGGGAGGGCCCCCGAGCTGTGCGCGCGCACTTACCGGGGTGCAGGTGAGCGCGCAGTGCGCGTGCACGGACCAGTGCCCCGAGAGCACTGTGAGCGCGTGCGCCAGGCAGATGGCGGCGAGCGCAAGCAGCGCGGCCTCGGGCACCTGTGCCCAGCTGCTGCCCCAGCCCCAGCAGCCGGCGGCCGCGGCGCCCAGCCAGGCCGGGTACAGCAGCCCCGCGAACGGCAGCACAGTGAGGCGCCGCAGCAGCGCCAGCCGCCGGTAAGGCCACACGGCGGCCACCAGCTCATCGCCGCGCGCGATGAGCGCCGGCCCGGCGGCCAGGGGCGCGCGCGGCTGCGGCCGGGGCCGGGGCTGCCCGTCGGACCCGGCCGCGCAAGGCCGAGCGCCGCACGGCTCCGCGCTGCCCGCCGCCGCCATCTTTCCCACCGCCGCACTCGCTTCCGGGCACAGGAACGCCTCACTTCCGGCCCCTCACTTCCGTCAGGCCCGGGACGCCTCCATGGCGGACTGGGCTGAGCATGGCAGGGCACACGTCGAGGGCCAGAGCGGAAGTGGCTGCTCCGGGTTCCTCGGGGACAGACCGTGGCCGGAAGGAGCGGGTCCGTGATATTCGGGGCGCCCCCGCCCTGCCACGCTGCACCGAGACCGGAAAACACGAAGGGCGGGCGGGCTGTTACCAGGACAACGGGGGAGAAGAGTCCCGCCCCTGCAGGACCGCGATGGGCGGAGCCAGCCTCTGTGGCGGCAGCCCCCAGGTCCGGGCCTGTCGTGTGATGGGCGTGGCTCAGGCGCTGTGGGCGGGGCCTATAGCTCGGCGGAGCCAGCCGGAGATTGGGGCGCCAGGGGCGGGGCCTGGGGAAGGTTGGGGTATGTGGGATTGGAGAAGGGAATACTGGTGACCTGGGACTGACGCGGCCGTTCAGACGGATAAATCTGCACACTGGTGGTGCACGTGGGCTCGGCCTCCTTGAGTACAGGCTGCGTGCGAAGGGCTGTCTGTGGGGACCCCCCACCCGGCCTCTGGGAGCCCCTACCTGAGAGAGGAATAGCTCCTTTAAATGAATGGTCTGAGCAGGGAGGAAGGTAGCCAGAGGGCAAGTGGGTCCACCTCTTAGAGCCCCTTCTCCTGTCTTGCCCTCCATTTCCTATATCTTCCTAACCTGAATTTCAAACCCTGGTTCTTGATGTTGCAATATAACTGACAGCAAATCTCAACAGATAACACGGAGCAGAGTCTGCCGGAGTGCAACAGAAAAACAACTAAAATCAGGCAGGAACTCTCCGGAAATGTAGACTTTTTTCTTTTTTAAGATTTTGGGGTACACCTGGCTGTGTTCAGGGCCCACACCTGGCTCTGCGCTCTGGGATCACTCTTGGGGGACCCTCCGGGCTGCCAGGGATAGAACCCGGGCCAGCCACGTCAGAGGTAAGCGCCGGCCCTGCTGTAGTGTCATCCCAGGCACAGACTTCCTGTGTCTTGAAGATAGTGTTGATTTCATATACCAATAAACCTATCAAACCCAACTCGATGTTTATTTTATTTATTTTTATTTTTAATTATTATTATTATTATTATTTTGCTTTTTGGGTCACACCCAGCCAATGCTCAGGGATTACTCCTGGCTCTGCACCCAGGAATCACTCCTGGCGGTGCTTGAGGAACCATATGGGATGCTGGGAATCGAACCCGGGTCGGCCGCGTGCAAGGCAAACGCCCTACCCGCTGTGCTATTGCTCCAGCCCCCGGACTGGATGTTTAAATGTATGGATTTTGTTAAATATAAATACATCCTAACAAAACTCATGTATTGTTTATTTAAAACCCTAATTCCAAATAACTTCATGCAACAACAAATTGGTGATAATTACTGCAAATATATATATATATTATTGATATTATTGATTTTGATATTATTTATAACAACAATGTTCTTTTTTGTTATTTTGGGGACATACCTAGCTATGCTCAGGATTTCCTCCTGGCTTTGTACTCAGGGATCGTCCTGGCAGTGCTCAGGGAACCCTGTGCAGAGTCAGGAACAGAGAGCTGAGTGGGCTGCATGCCAGGAAAGTGCCCTCCCTGCTGTCTCTGGCACCTCCCGGCCCTACTTTCTGTAGCATTGTTCAGGATGGATGGGTGGTAAATAAAAAGAAGAAAAAGTTCCCTAACTCCATTTCTATATTCTTGTCCACTTCCATGATCATATTTAGCCTTTTTTTTTCTTTTTTTCTTTTTGGGTCACACCCGGCAATGCACAGGGGTTACTCCTGGTTCTGCACCATATGGGATGCTGGGAATCGAACCTGGATCTGCTGTGTGCAAAGCAAATGCCCTCCCCGCTGTGCTATCACTCCAGCCCCCAGATTTAGTTTTTTTTTTTTAACTTAACAGGTATCTTTGGATCTGAATTTTCAGGTACAATAAGAATATAACAAGAAAATTGGGGCTGGAAAGACCAAGAGTGATCCCAGAGTGCAAGGCCAATGCCCTTCCAGTGGCCAACCCGGGTTCGATTCCCAGCATCCCATATGGGTCCCCCAAGCACCGCCAGGAGTAATTCCTGAGTGCATGAGCCAGGAGTAACCCCTGTGCATTACCAGGTGTCACCCAAAAAGAAAAAAAAAAACAAGAAAATTAAGATGATATTTGTAAAATAAGAATATCTCAGGGAATTTGTGTTGGCTTCTCATACACTAAAAATTAAGACCTTGATTTATACTTATATCTGCTTCCTGGTAAAAGGTAAAGGTAAAGGCCCTCCCGTTGATCGTCGATTTGCTCGAGCGGGCCCAGTAACATCTCCATTGCAGACTTTGTTGTTACTGTGTTTGGCATATCGAATACTCTCAGTAGCTTGCCAGGCTCTCTGAGAGGGGCAGAGGAATCGAACTCAGGTTGGCCATGTTGGCCGCTTGTAAGGTGAATGCCCTACCGCTGTGCTATCGCTCCTGCCCTGATACCCAAATTTTAAAGCTACTCGGTCTCTAATCCTCACTTTTCTCAGAAGGGGGCAGTGTAACCTAAGGACAGAGTACTCTATGTGTGGGTCCAAGCAAGAGGCTTTAACACTACCAGCATCGATAAAATATTGAAAATAAGGGATCTGATTTGTGTCTTGTCATAATCCAAGTATAACATTTCTAAAGAGTTTAAGTTAAGGCTGGAGCAGGGAGGACGTTTGCCTAGTACACAGCCAATCTGGGTCATTCCCCAGTATCCCATATGGCCCCTGACCATCACTAGTAGTGATTCCTGAGTGCAGAGACAAGTGTAACCCCTTATCATTGCAGGGTGTGGCCAAAACCCCAAATGTAATGATAATAATAATAAAATGTATAAATTAATCGGCTAAATTTGATCATGAGAGTGGCTGAGTACATAGAAAGGAGAATTAGGAAACTTCCTTCACATATTTTCATCTGCAGGAATCTCAAGAAAGGCAGAAACTTCTATTTTTGTATCTTCTTGTTTATCTAGTCCACACCCAGCTCAGGACTAACTCAGGGATCACTTTTGGTGGTGCTCAGGGAACCCTATGGGGTGTCCGGTACAGATGCCAGGTTGGCTACGTCAAGGCAGAAGCCCTCTCTGCTGTCCCATCGCTCTGGCCCCTCTTTTTTTTTTTCTTTTTGGGTCACACCCGGTGATGCACAGGGGTTACTCCTGGCTCTGCACTCAGGAGTTACTCCTGGCGGTGCTCAGGGGACCATATGGGATGCTGGGAATCGAACCCGGGTCCGCCGCGTGCAAGGCAAACGTCCTGCCCACTGTGCTATCTCTCCAGCCCCAGGGCCCCTCCTTTTATAGCTTCTTAACTCAGGGGGTGACAAGCCTGGTGGGCCAGAGGAGGAGCAGGGTGAGGGGCTGCTGCGGGCCACAGTCCAGGGACCTTGGCAGGCTTTACACATTCTTCTCTTGACCTTTAGTTTCTCTTGAAGCTTCCTTCTCTGAAGGGGCTCATCGGTCTTGGAGTGGTTCCTCACTTTCTTGGCTTTTGGGGTCACACCCAGAGATGCTCAGAGGTTGTTCCTAGTGGTACTTGAGGAATTGCATGGTATGCAGCATAAATGCCCTACCCAATTGCTCTGGCCCTGGTACCCTGAATTCTGACCTGCTCAGAACCTAGGGGTTTCACAAGCTCCACTGGGTCAGTTATTTTTTTTCTTTTTGGGCCAAATCCAGCAATGCACAGGGGTTACTCCTGGCTCTGCATTCAGGAATCACTCCTGGCAGTGCTCAGGGAACCATAAGGGATGCTGGGAATCGAACCCAGGTCGGCGTGTACAAGGGAAACGCCCTACCCAATGTGCTATCGCTCCAGCCCCAATATTTCACTTTGAGCCCAAGTCCATCCCCACTACGGAGACAGTGTCATGCCACTAGGGAGCCCCTGCAGTCTGCCCTCCCAGGCCAGCAGCTCTGCCCAGGGAGCCTCTGGCCTGAGACAGGGGCCCAGTGCAGACCAGTGCCCAGGAAGGAATGAGAAGCAGAAGCAGGGGTAGGGATGCTGAGAGGCAGGAAAGCTCACTTGCTGGGAACCGTGTCACCTGATCTGAGGCAGAGGTCAGTTCTCAGGGTGCTGCTGAGACGGGAAACTCAGTCCCTTAGACACTGAGGGCGCGAGCAGGGCCTGGAGCGTCACACACATGCCCGTGGTACCTTCCAGGGCTGCTCACCCACTCCCTCTGGCCTCTGCCTTCTGGGTTTTGTTTTTGTGCATTTTTTTTGGGGGGGGAGGGGGGCAAACCCAGCAGTGCTCAGGAATTACTCCTGGCTCAGCACTCAGGGATCGCTCCTAACAGGGTTATGGACCCCAGGGGTGCCAGGGATCAAACCTAGGTCGGACATTTGCAAGGTAAATGCCCTCCCAGTCTAGTAGTGCTCCAGCCTCTCGTTGGCAGCTGTTGCCCCAGCCCCATCTCATCTGTTCCAACGCTCTTTCCGGTCTCCTTCGGTTCACTGTCCTCTGAACACTCTCCCCTGTGTACCAAGGGTCCCTAATTCACCATCAAACTACACTCTCAGATTCTCATCAAGGTTTTCCCTGGGGACCAGCCTAGAGAGAGAAACGCCTCTGCCTCTTCTTCCATGATTTCCTCTCTGCTTTCATAACTCCCTTTGTTTTGTATCTTGGGCCACACCCAGCCATGCTCAGGAATTATTCCTGGCGATGCTTGGGGGCGTCCATCTGGGATGCTGGGGCTTGAACCTGGGACTAGCCTTGCTGCAATGAATTCTCTGTGACCTCAGAGTCACAGTGGAATGCTCCAAATTGAGTAAGATCTTAGCATGTGCTGGGAGCATTCACAGGAGCAGGAAGGCTGGAGGAGTCACGGGACGCTGAGACCGCCTGACGTGGAGGTGGAGGATGAGATGGGCAGGGACAGGACTGTGGGGAGGGCATTGGCCCTGCACATGGCTGATCTGGGCT